AGTCTGGAGGTGCGAAAACCTCCATATACTATGAAAAAAATAAAACACATATGGATACCTGATCATTAGAGGCTTGACTGTAACATAACAACACACAGCTTGCTAAGGATGATAAGGATGTATAATTCCCTTCCCTTCAATTTGCTTGTCAAATTGAATTAGTACTTAGCAATAGAGAATAGAAACTATTTGACTAGATTTAACCAGAGAACTCAATCGAGTCAATAAAGAACGGACAGTTTTCTTAGTGTAAATAGAAGTAACTCGGATAAATCATTGTTTTTATAACTGGACATGTTTACTATTTTTTAACACCTTTCAAAGAAGAAACCAAAGGAAACCGATAACTACAGATTGTCTGAAATGCAGAATAAAACTACTATTCAACTTATCAACTCGTGCCAGGATGCGATCCCCATTAAACTTCCATTAAATCGAGTAAGTTCTGCGATCTAAGACCAGCAGACATTATTAGATTTGTGGACAGCAATGTTTTGCTCAGGTTAACTTAGAAAACACCTGCTAGCAATAAAACAATAGATCTCACAAGTCAGAGAGTACAAATGTCCTTTCTAATACCAATAATAATAAAGCCCACGGTTTCGTCAAGTCCAATATATTGTCATTTAAGATTATCAAAAAACGTAAACGTGGATTCTATGTTGATTGCTTAATAATTTTTGCACTTTTCATCAGATTTTATCAGTGACATTAAAAATCTGAGAGCTGTAGAGTAGGAGTAGAGTAGTTAGACGCAGGAAGGCTGAAAATTCGAAGTCGTGTGCATATTGACATATGTTATTAAGTGAACACATTGCTTTCCACAATTGGTGAAAAGTACTTCACGCTTTAATATTTAGTAAGGTGTTTAGACCCTTCGTCTTTAGCTATTTTGCTGTAGTAGAGTAGACTGTAGAACTCCTCTACGTTAATAATTGTAAGCTTATTGATTATAGTTAGGGCGTAGTTATTAGTACTTGCTTTCGCTTTAGCGTTTGCAGACCAAAAAAATAAACTTCGTTTTGAGTTTTTTCAATGGATGGGTCATGAGATATCATCTGAGTAACCCAAGTCAGAGTTTGACAAAAGCGAATTTATCGAAATAAAAGTTGAAACTCTAAAAAAATCAAGACGACTTTACTTCAAGTCAGAAAGCTTTTGAAATGTATGCAATCTATAGCTTCACGGTTGCTTAAGTACAGCGTCCAGATGAGTACTATGGGGTGAAGTGATGAAGGAAATATTTTTAATTATGTGGAATTAAAATTTTTTTAGAAATAATTCTTTTGAATTGTTAATATCGGATATACCATATATCTTGTGTCTCTATAATTTATAATGGATTGCATTTTTATTAAAATCTCCAGAGTTGTAAGGCATAAAGTGTTCGTCCAGCTTTGCGTTACTCAATCAAGCAATTTCCAAATAAAAAATCACAAATATTGAATTTTAATCAATTTTAACATTTTTATTTGTTTCTTAATGTGTCTCAAATCGTTTCGTGCTCTATTGCCATGCATTTTGCGATGCATTCTTAAAGCTGAGCGTTCCCACTTTTGCTTTCGATTCGCAAACTGGAAATAAACAATCCGACACATATTAGATAATTCAGCGAGTACCTGGGCGCATGTTGGTAAACTCCACAAATGTGTAAATCCGTTGTATCTTAAAATGTCGATTGGATTTTTGAATTACTCAGCAGATATCAATTGCTTACGAGACCAAACTATCGCACGCACTTTTGGAACTGCAACTCACAGCAAACTCACAGATACTGGAGTATCTACGCAGCGTCAAAAGTGCAGATCGCAGTAAAAAATTATTTACGGCATTCGTGTGGCACAGTTACAGTGCGAGTGTTGCAATCTGGCACTGAAAGCGAACGTTGCTGACGCATTGCAATTGCAATGAAAATGTGTCGCATGTGGAATTATTTTAGCCAACACATGCAATGATAACAATCCGCTTAAGACGAGCTGCCGGCCAAGTAGGCGTGTATCTGTCCATTACTTATGACTCGACTCTAATGCAACCACTAAAACCAGCATTTCAGCAAACGATGTAACAAGAGTATGAGACGTGCTGCAGTGGGCTATGTACTATGCACAACATGATATGCAATGTAAGCGGAGTTCCAATTTATTGATTGTCTCAAGTGTTTTGCATACCGAAACTTCATGAAATCTCATGAAATGAATCGAATTGCCCACATTTTAGATGTAGGGCGTGCTTGAGAAAAATGCACTGAAATGCACTAAAATGCATACAACAAACTGACAGTTTATGCACCTTTAAGGATTAGCGCTGCGAACCAAAATGGATGAATAAGTGCATGAATGAAGCAATAAAACACTCTTGGTAATACCGTAAACATTTCAAACTTTCCACCGCCGTATGAATTAATTAAAACCAAAGTGGGACTTCACACATTAACTTTCGTGTGAAACTTTGATTATGTCATTCCGATAGACTTCAAGATAGAAAATATTGTGCAAATTTCAAATTTGCAACCATTCACAAATTACGAATTACTCGTAAAAAGTCAAAAACAAGAATATCTGCATCACATTTTTCATATGAATATTAAACATACAAACTTATTCGAATATGTTGACCAATAATGCGATTAAGTTAAAAAGAAATATTATCTTATCTTTATTGGAATGCTCTGAGTAAAAATTATAGCTCCATTACATATAATAAATACAAGATTAATTAATCTATAAAGTATTTTGTCCAATTAAGCAGCAGAACTTCTGACTTTAAAACAGACTTTCCTGTTCCGGTTTGAATTTCTTTACTTTTAATCAGGACTAAATCGGAACCTTTCAATCTAAAACAATCTGCGGATCAATAAAATATTCCATATATTTTGCAAGAGCCTAGAAGATAGCTAATACGAGTATTTTCTCAAAAACTGATATCGGTCCGATAGCCGATATCAACACGATTTTTAGGAAACCTTAATCTAAGCCAATAAGCTTAAATTATAGAAAAATGATTTTACAGACATAAACTAGATTTAGGTATTTTGTTCAAAAAAATAATATCGCTGCTCCCAATGGCGGGATCCGGTGATTGAGAAACTTTAATCTAAACCACTAAGTTTGAATTATGGAAAAATGATTTCATAGATATAAACTTTTAACTTCATTGGAATATTGCACCCAAAAAAGGCGCTTTACATATAGTTTCAATCCGTTGAACTTGTGTTTCTAAATAAAGCTGTAGTTTATAAGCTCGTTCTAATTTAAGGCACGGAAAGTGCTTTGGTTAGTGTTACTTAAGAAATAAAAAAAGTGATAGAAAACTTAGAACTTCAGCATTAAAAGTTTATGCAGCCTTGGCTGCTAGTGGAAAAACAGTCGTCATATGCGAAAACCTCGTTATTATAAATTTGATAGGCACGAGCTCTAAGCCTGGTACTTGCAGTCCAAACTAATTATATACGGCCTATAAACTGATTAAAAAGAAATACTTAGTACTTGGCAATACTCGAAACAGCGCTATATGTGCAGCCAAATTTCAATCAATTAAAATAAATTTTTGTTCTTGTCTTTTCTTGGCTATTCGAATCCATCTAACTTTTAAATAGTTTCTTTTCGTCATAAAGATGCGTCAAGAAACAGACAAGAAACAATTAACATTAATAAACTAGATTTATTATATCTTTATTATATTAAAGTTATTTCACAGATGCACATTAGGTTTATTAGATCTGAACCCATCTGAACAAAGTGAGAGAAAAATATTAACCTCTTTCTATTATTATTTTTTTTTTGTTATCTTTTTCCTTTTCCTTCCTTTTTTCCTTTAATTTTTTTATAATAGTACATACTTTAGCTTTATATTTGCCTACTTCCAATCTAAAACTGATCTGACAAATAATGAGAGAAATTCTTATGGGCTCTGAGGCCAGTATTGACAGACACTACTTGGTATTTTATTTCTTTTTATATTTTCTGCTTTCTATTTCTTCTTCAGTTCTTAATTTTTATATAATCGTATATTATATATTAGATTTTTTTGTTTGATTTGATATTTACCTATTATGTTAACCAAAAGGATCTGACAATTTATGAGAGAAACTCTTATGGGCTGAGGCGGTTATTGATAGACATTAATTTTCATTTTATTTATTTTTTTTCTCTTTTTTTATGTTTTTAAATATTCATTTTTTGTTTTTTTTTCTTTCTTTAGTTAATAATTTTTTATAGTTGCATATCATATATATTTCTTTTATTATTAATTGTTACTTCTGAAGACAGGTGACACGAAGTTATGGCCATATATCAACTTTCTATGTTTTGTTCTGTATAAATTTGAATAATAATTAAAAATGCAAATAATAAATCTAAATTCTAATGAAATAGAACTACAACTACTAATAATACTACAATTAATACTACAATTTAATCTGCAATCAGTTGACGTGGCCGATTGATTAAAGTCAACTGGAAATCCAAATTTAGTATCTAGTATCTTAAGTCGGTTTGCTATTATTGAATATAATTTAAATAGAAATTGTGCAATGCCGACGCAACTTAAACTCGAATTTGTTATTTGCATAGTTTATAATAAATCAATTTTAAATTACCTTCAGGTCCAGTTTTTGCATGGGCAAGGAACCGCGGGGAAATACATATATAACACAATAAATTCATGCAAATTAACGCAAATAACCACCACGAGCTCAGCTCATCAATTCATGCTTGAGTCGCCTCACTCGAATCAACTTGAATCAACTTGAATTTAATGCTCTTAATTAACTTAAATATTGATTTTAATCTCCTAATAAGCAACGAGTTAAGCCCCAAATTGCACTCTAACCCCGATTTGCAGACAACTTTGAATGGGATTAACGCATAAACATAAATGAAATCGACATTATAAAACACGTCTGCAATCAAAAATTTTATTTCCAAAAAAAAATTAAATAATATTTAAAAAAAATAATAATTATATGTTGCAACAAATGATTTTAATCCGTTAATTTTATTTTTTATCTATTTTTCAGATGTTCCCTCAAGTCTTCGCTTTGATTATTTCAACTATAATTATGCTTAATATGCAACAAACGTTTGTGGCTGGTGCAGGTTACCATTATGAACGGCCAGCAGCTTCACTTCCAGCTGGAAGAACAGAGCATGTGTTTGGTCCAATACCCACAATTCAGCCTTTACCACCGATACCGGCCTTGCCTCCGCTGCCAACTGCACGCTCTAAATTTCCACTACAACCACAAACCCTATTATTTCACACAGCACAACCGACTATAGCACCACGACAGTCCTTAGGAACATTGTTTATACCACCAACTGCGCCCGCTACATTCACTGTAACTAATGCACAACAACCGCAAGCTTTCGTTGGTTTTATACCACCAACAGCATCTGCTACATTTGGTTCCGGTGTTGGAGTAGCTGCTGGTGCACCACCCACAGCACCACCTTTACGCATACCATTTGGCAAGCAAGCGGTCATTCATTTGCCAACCGCCGACGAAAGAGACTTCTATGTCGTTAACGGACGTCAGTTGAAGCAATATGCGGTAATTGAGATAATTGACAATGATATTGAGCAATCGGTACAACCGTTCCTATCAGGTCCTACCTATGACTTGAATCGTGCACGTATTGGCGCTTCTGGAACTGGCGCTCTATCGCCACTGCCAAGCACACAAGGACTTCAAATCGGGTCTCGATCTAGCGCCTTACTCGTAGAGCAGCAGCGGGTAGAACAACCGACACAATCTGTTGACGATCCTATCACCCTAGGCTCTGGTGGTCTTGGCTATGTGCGCTTACCCAATGGTAATGTTTATTTAGGTTCCGGTTCATTGGGCTACATCAGTGCACAGCAACGCTCACGGTTCGTAATGGATGCACGTACTCGCACCGGTGCCAATGCGCCTAGTCCACTGCATTTCGGTCACGGTGCATTGGGCGGCACAAGTAATGTTTTTCGATTTAAATAAAAAAAAATCCATTGTATAAATAAAATTTATTTTTAAACAAATAACAAATACTCGTACTTGCTACATGTCTTTATATTTTGTACAATATTTTCATTTAATTTTCTTACGGATTATTTTAAGTGTAATTTCGGTTCAAAGCTGCGTTAATAAACGAAATTCTTCATAACAATTTTTTTCTGTGTTTTATTTGCAATTTTTGTTATTTAAAAAAATAAAAGGTTAAAGTATCTCTGAACTGTTGCACATTTAAAATGTATTTTAATATATTTATATTATTTATTTAATAATAAGTTAAGTCAGAGTTAATTCCTATCAGTCAGTGATTATCGGAAGTATCTGCTCCATGAGCAGACCTTATCCCGTCTTTGATGCCCAACACGAATTTTGATCAAATTTAGTAGCTTTATAATGATATATTAATCTTCTGAAAGCTAATCTTGTAAAAGTTTGGAACGGACAATATTTCAACGCCCTACGAGTTCTCATACGCTATAATCGATATCATTTTTAACATGATAGTCCTACTATGCTACTCTACTCTTTTTGAATTACGTGTTTTTAGTATTTCAAGGTCTGTAAATACGCTTTTTCTGTCACCAATGGAAACATTAACATTAGTTTTGCTGCTATTACGGTAAGTATTTTTACTATTTGGCCTAGTAAAAATGTTTAGAATTGATCCATAGCATAACACATAACAATGGATTGATCCATTGGTGTTTTATAATACATATGTCATTTATTTTTTCTCTCGCTGAGTTGTGGCGAATTTGAAATTCGTCTATTGGGGAAAAAGACGTATATACCTTTTTCTAAAATCTTTCCATTATATGTGAATACCTGAACGATGTCACCATTATTTAATGTCTACACTGCACATCGATAGGTGAATAGGTATAATTAAGATTTGGGACATGTGCTAAGATTTTGGACAAGGTTTTGGGCATGTGAATTTTTTAATTACATGACATGAATTTTGATTTAAAGGACTTCAAGTTTGTAAAATAGACGCTTTTAGGTACTTGTGTCGATGTGCTTTCCGTAGCAGAGTCCATCACAACACCCAACCAAATGTAACACCATAAAGTGAGTTTTTATGGATTTACAATCTTAAATGCGACAATCTTGTTTGTTGATATTCACAAAATGAATAACACTTTATATCTTCCGTGTCCAAAAAAAGAAGCCTAATCTACATGACTAATATTAATAATTGAGAAATATGTATATGTTTATAATATATATCACTTTATCTATAAGTCTGTCTATCAATTTGTTGATTTGTCTACCTTCCAATCTACCCTTAAGTCTCTTTGTGTGGATGTCGACAATCTGCTATCTTACTAATAAAATAGGACATTAGGACATTTTTTTAATCTACACAAATAAGATATTAATATTAATGCAGTTGGTTACCTTTTGTATCTAGCACTTACACAAAAAAGAATAGGAGTTTTAACATGAGTTTGTATTTAATTCGTATAATATGAATTAATGCAATTAATAAAATTTAACGTCAAAAACAATTTCTACAATTAAAAAATGTTTAATTAACAACTATATGTTGTTTCCGCTTGTCAGTTTTACTCATTAAAGCCACTAATAAAGATAATTTACGATAAAATGAGCTTTCATATAAATGAGCTCATTATAAATAAATCAGGTGATATAACGCAAAAAATGTCAAATGCAGCCCTTAAAAATTAATTTCCCACAAGGGAAATTACCATAATTCGAAATATTTGTCATATGTTTTAAATATTATGTTTATGTTGATAAATGATCAATATTTTTGGCATTTTCCATATTGAAAATATTGTGTTTACTTGCAAACTAACTAAGAATTACAAATTAAATTAAAACAACATAACAAAAAAATGAATAAAATAATTAAATTTACTGCGGTACTGACTTGTCAACATATATGTGTTGCAGTCCAATAATGTCGAGATTGCGCTAAGTTATTTCAACTTCGAAAAAAATGACCAATGGAGAACAAGTTTATATTTACCAATCGGAAACGACATGTTTGAATTTCTTCAGTAAAATAGTTTCTTCAAATTATTGATACACAAATGCCACGGTCTTTCCAACATTTAGTAAAATTACGAAAAGATTTTCTGTATTAAAGATTATACAAACCAGTGGCGGTTTCTATTCTTAAAAATTATACATCTATGGCCATATGCGAGTTCGAGTAAATTGAGGTAAAGTAAATTGAAATTTCCTAGGGAATTATATCAATATTTATTTATTTATTTATTGCACTTATTTATTATTTTTGGTTAAAAATCTTCACATTTATTTATTAAACATCTTATAAAATTTTCATAATGGTAACACCTATTTTATCTAATTTTTATCTAATTTACCCTACTCGAAATACTGGTAAATACCAACATTCGCTGCCATACCGACATAATATACAATTTCCCTCAATTTACCATCAATTTACTCGAACTCACTCTCGAGCAATATAATAAGTTATCAGAAAGCTCAAAAGCTCTTCAGCGCTTTCGTACAAATTTTAATACCTTTGTTTTAATGGGGTCTTTGATAATAATACACTTTTTACATAAAAGCTTTCGTTCATTACTTTCTATACACAAACCATTTTTTTTTTGCTGTAGAACTATTAAAGCACAGACAAATAATTATATTATTAATTATATTTGTCTGTGATTAAAGTTATGAACCAAATACAAGAAAAAGCGGCAATTATTGATATAAACGGTCTTTGCTCTTCCTTTAAAAGCTAAAATCAATATAAAGCTTATGCCACTGACAAATAATATGTATATATATTATATATATATTATTATATATATTATAAAACAGACAAATAATTTTTGTCAATAAATAACAAATAAATTGATTTATGATTTTATATATATTACAAATAATATATATTATTTGTCCGTGCTTAAAGTTAATATTACCATAAAGCTTCTTATATGTATACCAAAGTAGAACACCGTAAAATTATGCTAAATCATGCTATTTGCACTAAGGTTCGAGTCTTAACGTCGTAATATTACGATCTTTGTATACGGTCATTATATCGATAGCAAAGACAAACATCTTACAATAATAATAAGTACACGATATTTGTACTAAGCTTCATGCCTTAACGTCGTAATATTACAATCTTTGTGTACGTTCTCTATCAATACGGCCTCCAATACGTGCTCTGCACTTAAGCTTTTACTCGTGATTCCCTGTACTCAAACCATTTCTTTTACACAGCGAAAATATTGCTATTGGTCCATACCGCGCTTTAATAAAATTTAGGATTAAAGTTAATTTTTATAATACTTTTCGCACAGTTAACTGCATTCAGTGAATTTGAATTTTTCTCACGCTTCGTTCGATGCTTGAGCAAAGGTTGTGAATATTAATAATATTTTTCTTCTGTCATTTTTTGACATTGTTTATTTTACATTTGCAAAACCGTTTTTTTCTAAATACCACAACGGACATTGTATAGAGAAAATAAAAGAAATTTAAATAATTTATGAATACCAAAATAAATTTAAAATTACTTTTCAGAAGTTTTCCTTAGATTTTCTGAAGTTAGTTTCTAAAGATTTGAAGTTAATTATTTCTTTCGTTGAGTGCTTTACAGTTAGTAAATTGGTTTTATCTCTCTCTCTCTCTATTTTTTTTAAACTATAACCGCTGTATTGTAAAATATCTTTTTTTTAAATAATGTTTAACCCCCAACAGGCAGAAGAAGAGTGAATGATTATTTGATTCATTCACAATGTAAATAGATAGGCGCTTTGAAATGGTGCCTACTAAGTCATCTAATGTTTTTCCGTTCTTTTCTTTTGTCTATAGTACAGTAAATCCATTGTTATTGTTACTTATTGGTTGATGGAGCCAATAATGTATAACCTAATAGTAGTTTGTTTGACATTTCCAGGTACTAATTTCTCCTCTATGCTTAAACCATTTCTTCAGAACGATTTTGGTTTTTTAAATAGATCCATTTGATAATGGATTTTAATAGAGTCAGCTATTTTGAATAATTTCTTCCAAAATGTTATATACAGATATAGATAACTTCTCATGAAAGATATCAATATACGCACTATTGAAGGGGAAACAAGTAGAATATATTTGGTCATTCTTTCACACTTTTTGTTACACTGGCAAATGAATGATCCATACGCAATTTTTACATGGAATATCCAGACGACGAGTAAAAATAAATAGACGCGCCATCCAATAGTTTTCATGTAAAAATTTCCACGTTTAAAGCCCACGTCTAAAGCTAAACAATATTCAGACATAGCATAGTGGAGAGAGTCGCTAGCTGGGTTTATTAAAATACGTTGCCATATAGGTTTAATCCAAAAATCTGATAAGTGTCAAACACTACATAGTTCGGAAGTATTTATTCAATCTTATTAAGTTCATTAATACTCATTCATTGCCCATAAGCATGTGATTAGGTTTTCTCTAAAAAGATAAAGAATCCACACAAGAATTGGATGTTGCGGATGTATTAAAAGCAAATGTTAGAAATTATATTAACTATGTTACACTAGATTTCAGTGAAATTATTTCATATTTATAAAAAAACAAGAAAATTCTATACAAATAAAGTGCAATAATGCAGCATATTTGTGCTATAATATACCATATTTATTAAATTAATAATTATTACTCAAATAGTGTAATTCAAAATACCAGTAACGAGTAACAATAAATAGACGCGCCATCCAATAGTTTTCATGTAAAAATTTTCACGTTTAAAGCCCAATGTCTCTAAAGCTAAACAATATTCAGACATAGCATAGTGGAGAGAGTCGCTAGCTGGGTTTATTAAAATACGTTGCCATATAGGTTTAATCCAAAAATCTGATAAGTGTCAAACACTACATAGTTCGGAAGTATTTATTCAATCTTATTAAGTTCATTAATACTCATTCATTGCCCATAAGCATGTGATTAGGTTTTCTCTAAAAAGATAAAGAATCCACACAAGAATTGGATGTTGCGGATGTATTAAAAGCAAATGTTAGAAATTATATTAACTATGTTACACTAGATTTCAGTGAAATTATTTCATATTTATAAAAAAACAAGAAAATTCTATACAAATAAAGTGCAATAATGCAGCATATTTGTGCTATAATATACCATATTTATT